TTTAATAAAAATAACACTTCATTGAGTACTTCATAGAAACACTTTGTATGCGTGTATGTTTTATAATATAATTAATAAAAGTCATTGCAGTTACAATAGTTACATATTTTACTACTAAATATATACCAAGCGATGTGATATCAACCCATTGGAATGCTATACAAATGTTTTGTATATCTCTCAGTTAGTTTAGCATCGCGGTTTTAATAAGAAATATTGGAATTTAAAAACTAAATTATAACGTATTCAGTTCTTCAAATTAGACATTGAATAATCGTCGTAATTAATTTTTAACTGAAAAATCTAATATTTTCAGATATGAAAACTCTGTAACATTATCTAATTACAGAACTTTAATAAATAATATTGCTAGAAGTTTTGATCATTTATTGTATCTGATACTACAACGTGTTCAATGATAAGAAAAGGTGGGTGGTTTGGTTATTTGAGTAAACACATATACTATGAATTATCTTTCAGTTTTTTCTTTCACATACAATAACTGTTTATTAAATGTTTAATAAAAAATACACGATTTTGATGATACATCTACATATTAATATATACAATTATCATAATTATAGTTTATTTGACATAGCAGAATAAGTGTTGATAGCGGTTAAGTTTATAGGTGTTAATTTTAAAGGCGTAAATTGTAATCGTCATGAGAACAATAAAATATTGAAATACAAGAGATGATAGATAGATAGAAATAATAACGTTAGGATAAAATTACTTGAAATAGTTAAATTACCTATAAGTATGTATTGATCGTTCTACGAGGAACATATTATTATTATATACATAATTACGGTTCATATTTTCGAGACGATGATGGTGTAAAAAACTCAAATCATACGATAGGTATTAAACTTTTGCATCAAACACATAATAGTTTAGAGTTCCTTTATATTGTATAGCCCCCCTTCACTAATATTTAACTGTTTAAATTGTAATAATACTTATGAGTAGAAGTGCTAGATATTCAAGTGCCTTATGTACTCAGATACGCGATTTTATTTACCCTCGCTGTATAGTTGCAGTGTATGCAAATAACAACATAGTCGTTATATCTCTGTTGAATACAAATATTTATATTTAATTATGTATCGTGGCTATACAATTTTAAATTGATTTATAATGTGGAAGTAAATATGGGGTTCACACGAAAAACATTACCATTTTCTGCGGTTGAAAAATTTAGTTCCGATTATTATAGTGTATATTATACTGATAATGGCCACGAGATTGCATATGTAAAGAAATAATTATTTTAAATAAATCATTGGCCCACAGCGTGGTATAAATCGTAAAAATCAATAATTATATTACAGCACTTAAAAAAAAAATTGTATACAAAAAAATGTTGAAAACCCGTATTACATCATTAAGAATTACGTATTAAAATTAATCATATTACAATGATATTGTTATTTGAAAATATATATTATCTTAGGACTGTGCGAATCAAAAATATTTAAGTACGAGGGAAATTAAACTATGGAAAATTGTATTTTAATTTAATTTTATATTATATTTGATAAAATAATAAAGTATAATATTGTTTATTTATTATGATCTCGGATTTAGTGTACCCAATTTATTTATCAGCTAAAACGACCATCATAACCCATACTGTCTTTATCTGTTTCCGACAAAAACCAAATAAAAAGAAGCATTACTGTCACACTTGTATATTTATACATATATATACACACACATGCGCTATTATACATCAGTGTTATAGTGTGTACAGGATGATTTCTAAACGACTTTATCTAGTGGCTTAGTGACAAATACGTGCATACATATTGTGACATTGAAACTCAATTTATAAATTCTGTAATTTCGTATTAATTAATTTATGTTTTGAAGTTATCAGATATCTTTTCGAATAACCATCATACAATACGTAGTATAAGAGTATCGGTTTTCGTGATATTGCTGACCCTATTTACTATAAAACACAGGGACACGTTGCAAAATATAGTTGTTGAATGCATATATTAGATAATTAAGATTATTTAATTGTTTTGATTGTTTTTTCGATACCTAAATAAACGGATTTTAAGAAAATCGTTAAATGGCATTTGGAAATTATATTAATACTACGTTCTTTTTTTAGCTCTCTATAATGTTCAAATAACACGTGAAATGTATTAAAAAAAAAAAAATAATGCATTTAAGTAGTATGAATCTTATCGAAGATCAGTAATAAATGATACGTCCAATCGTAATTGACACTTAAGTTTGTTAAGTATTAACAATTCAGTAAAATAAATAAATTATTACGTATATTATTTACTCTAAGAAAAACGCGGAAATAAAAATTATTATTACTTTTGCACATATATTATATTTATTTATATATATTTATTAGCTTAAATTTATTAATATGATTGTATATAAATAAAATTAATGTGATGATGCGATTATTTATGGCATAATACAATATTATGTTTTATGATTTACAGTAACCTAAATCAGAACGATTGATTACGTTTGTGCAATCTCATCATCGCGCGGACGAGATGAATCAATTTCGATTGATAAAAATTAATATTATTTTGCTGAATGTGGCTTGTGGCTGAAACTGGTCATTTAATAGGGTAAATTATATGGGTACATTGATTCATAATTATATGGCGCAATTTCAAAACGTATACTAACATTTATAAGTCTATAATTAATGTACTTATAAATTATAATTCATTAGTTTTCCGCGTGATCTGTATTTATTATTTATGTATTTCAAAAATATGTTTTTCAGATAAAGATATTTAACGAAATGTTATATCAAGGAAAAAAGGAAAATCGTTATAAAAGTTTTTGGATGATTTTTTATTCAACACTTTCCAGAGGAATAAATTTAAAATTTGTAAGTGTTTGTATACAGTCAAGAATGTAATTGTATGCGATTAAGATTAGGTATGAGGAGGCAGATTTATCTGGGTGGTTTTCCTAAAATTGATTCGGTAGGAAAAAAATGTCACCAAATAAAATCAAAAGAAAAAGACGTAGGTATACAGGTGTGTATAGTGTGGCCTTTGAGTTTGAAAGACTAAATTGCAAAGTCGTTAGATATGTCACTTGGCCGAACGACGGAGCCTTGAATGAGTTATAAAATTGTGTCTTGACAAATATAGACAATACATATTGTCACATTGACCTATCAGAAAAATCGCGTTATATTGAATGAGGTTGTGTTTGGGCGTTTGTCATGAAAGATAATTTCACGTGTTACCAATTGATCGAATCAGACGTATTAACCTATGGGCTTCAAGTCATAATTTAGGGCATGGAGATTAATATTGTAATTCGTTTTTGTCTAAAAACGGAATCGAATCTCTAAACTAACCAAAAAACCACAATCGCCTTAAAATAAATAAAAACTAATTTTAATAACTTGTCATAATACTTTTAAGCGGTATTGTTAGTAATAATTATTGTTACATAACACTTGAAGGGCCACACGAGTTCAATGTACTGTTGAACTATAAATTCCGAGTATTAATTACGCGAGTAAAATACAATGATGCCGGTCTTATTCTAACGGGCAGTGCAACCCAAGTAGAGTAGTAGGAAAAATCAAAAGGACAGTTAACTTTATGAATCTGGGTACCTTACAAAAATATAATTTTCCTTATAGAATGATTGAATTTCTACTGAGTATTTAAAATTTATAAACCTAACTTAGTACCTAATGAGTAATAATTATGTAAGTTTACAATCTTTGCTGCTCCGACGATTGATTAATCTATGAAATTTAAATTTAAATAGTGGTATACGTATAACGGAAAAGATCCGTATTATTTTTTAATATTATAACACGCGATAGTCAAAATTCTAAAATATCAATACACAATTTATTTGAGGAGGGGGTAATTATTATAATCCAAATAAATTTCATGAAACAAACTTTTCAGTGTATTTGGACAGTAGATAAAAATCCTTAGAATAAGCCGTGCAATTATGTAGTTGATGCAACGTTGATACGATGTGCACATTATAAAATACGTTTAAATAATATAGTATAATATACTAATACGTTAAAAAGTATGCGGGAAGGGAATCGCGTATAACAGTGATCCGTGGTCTAGAAGGACGATGGGGAGATGGCTCGGTTCCCCGTTTTACCGTGTATGAAGGTTTCAACACCTCCCCTGGAATCATGTCATCGCAGGAAAGTGTCTTTCTCGTCCGCGCATGTATCTATGCACATCTACACGCAGTGGCGTGTTACGCGGTCGGCGATGCGATCACCTGGGAAATCATCGCGAGTTTGCGCGCCGCCGACGGTTTTCGCGACAATAATATTTCCATGGTTGACGTTTTTTGTTCGCACGCGACACACGAGGGGGTAGCTTCTGCGTGACATGGGTTGCAGCAATTGGTCTCGGCTGCGGGGTGCGGAACTCGAAGAGATCATTGAATGGCAACTGATTTCTTCGTCTCACCCCCACGCCTCACCAGCCACTGCGGTCCTGCGGTTGACGTGCACTCGTTTACTAAGGACGACCGTCCCCGGAGGGACCCGTTCGAATTTTATTACAATACATAAACGCATGTGTGTGTGTACACACATAAGGTGAGGTAAGCACACGCGCGTGTCGTTCACGGCGCGTTATTACGATAACGGTACACAATATAAGTATTGATAATGGTACGTAATATATTGGCGCGCGCGTGCGACGACCAACTCGTGCCCGTACGTACGAGTTTCTGCGCAAAAGTGTGTGTACATATGTGCCCGTACGCGTACGCTATGCGATGTACAACCCTCTCGAGTCGAAAAGTAGAATTTTTTTCCCTTATTTTTTTCACTTTTTTTTCTCCCTCCCCCCTCCCCGAAAAATTATAATATGTTTTACGCGCTCACCTCACACGGTCGTCGGGCTGCGGCGGCGGTCGCTCCGGGCCCCACCCCCCGAGCCGACCCTCGTGCCCCCACCGTCGCATGGCCAACGGCGGCATCCGAGAAGACCGACCGACCGCTGCCGCCGCCACTCTTCTTCAGTCAGTACTCGCACGCCGTACCTGTTCGTCAGTGCATCGTGCTCGTTTCTATTACATCGTGTCGCCACCGTCGTGTTTTACGTATTCTACGTGCACGCATGGTGTTAATATTTTTATAATTTTCACGGCAGTGCGACTTTTACGAAACTTTCTCATAATATATTACGATTCGATTACATTTTTATTATTTTTATATTATTTTTATTTTTTTGACTCGTATTTTTTTTTTCATCCGTTTAATCGTCTCTGCGTCAAAGGCGGCGACAGATAGCGAGCGCGCATCGCACGACCCCCATAACAACGCGTTGTAGTGAATCGCGTGATATTTATATCGGTTTTCGTTCGATATCGATATCGATATATTATATAATATTATAATATCTGTTAAAATGTTCGAACCGGTGTCGGTGGTAGGATCCCGCGGGAACTTCCAGCAGATCACTTAACGGCGTGGCGAGAGCACGGGTAGTGTGAAGAACGGACGCGAAGGATAAGAAAAGGATAGGCGTGTAATCGACGACGACGACAACTATCAACACCACGAGGACGACGACGACGACGACAAAACCGTTCGGGAGTCCTGCTGCAGCGCACATGGCGGCCGGCACTACGGTCGAACGACAGCAGACAGCGGCGGTCCGGCGAGCGTCCGCGGTCGCCCGGTGGACCGGGGCCGCGGCGTTGTGCCTGACGGTCGTGGTGTACGTGTGGCACGTGCACGGCACTATGGAACGCCGAGTGGCCGATCTGGAAGCCGCGGTGGCCTCCATGCAGCGGCAGCTGGCCGACGGTCCGTCCGGCATTACGGTCAAAGGACTAGACCTGCAGCCGCTCAGGAACAAGCGGGACGCGACGTCTGCACAGTGCTTGTGCCCTCCCGGTAAGTGCCGTTTTTTTTTTTTTTTTTGTCCACGCGCGACGATTGTTATTTTAACCCGACGAAGTGCAGTGGCTGTATGTTGCGCTCGATGCACGTCCGGTATGCGTGGCCGGCGACCTTGACTGCTACTGCTGCGGTCGTCCGTGGCTTACGCGTACGTCCGTTTCCCCGTCGCCGTGTCACGCCGCTTCTTAGACCATTATTACCGAGTGATGCGATGTGTAACGCGCATGATAATGACACATCGCTATGGCACATCTAGTGGCGCCCAAATAATTGGGACGTTTTTTTAATATTTTTCTATCAAGTATTCCATCACAATTGTTCTCACCTACCCCCGTCCGAACAACAACAATAAAAATAAGTTGTACCTCTTTAAATAATTTACCACGGGCCTTGATTACTTTTCCATTGGCACGTATTGCTTGCCGTGTCGTAGAGAGCGCATATTTGTACTATCACGTTGTCTCGAAGAAACAAGCGCGTTGTATTTATAATCTTAAATAATTTGAAGTTTGAATCATATCTTTCGGGGTGTGATATACTTACTCCTGCAGTCCTATCGAACACCGTACCAGTTGTTGACTCGACCGCTTTGGTACTGTCCGTGGGACGATACGGGTAAGAATATCATACGAACGTTCACTTTTTATAGGAATCGTCTGCGTATGAATTTGGTTTTTTCACGCATCCTGTTAAAGCTCCTTGTTTGCGAATCGATATTCCGCCGATGACCATCAATTGATATGTAAATATTTAATACATTGAAATCGTAATACTGTTTTATTGCATCGCTTTCCATTCGTGGTAATAAAAGGAAAAATCCCCTGAAATGTGCCAAAGAGTAAATATATCAATAATAAGGTGGATAGATTCTGTCCTTCCGAATCTTCGCAGGACTTCTACCCTTCTAGCTTCTCCCGATTACTGCGCGTACAACGCAACTGAATGTAAGTAGGTCCCAGCGGCTGATGATGATAATGGCAGGACAAATGGTTTTTTACCCTTCACGTCAGGGTTTTTGAACTTTGAGTCTTGCGGACACTCGTAGGATCGAAGCGCTGCTCAAACAATAGCCACCAATTATTACGGTGGTGATCGACCGGTATTACGACACCACTCGCGATTGTCTGCATGCTTGTACGCAACTAGTATTTTAGTCTATAGTCGAAAATGACTTGCTCTTCCTATATTATTATAATATGCAATGCGCAAGACAATACTCGCGCGCATCCTTGGCTTCAGTGTGCCACGATCATAATCTCGGCTAAGATTATTATTAATGTTTGCCGGCGTTGAAATTTGAAACGTTAATGCACCATGGTACCGATGCGCATGTACAAGTATCCGCGTGTAAATATGTACCGGCTTTCGTATGTATTCGTTCGTATTTGGTGTGCGTACATGATTTATGAAATCTGTCTTATGATTGATAGGACAATTAGATACGTCCGTATATAGACGGTAAATCTGTGAATCACGTCGATAATACTCACTGTAATGATCGTCGAAATCGCGTATTGTTGTTAAACATTATAATATTATATTACAACGTAATATATTGTATTTCGACATTATTGTTGGTTTGATTTTTACTTATTATATGTTTAATATTGGGCGAGAAAACACGCGGAATTTATTCTTACAAAAAATGTAATACCAAGTCACGTCACTTTATACACACATATATAACTCATGTTTCGGGGCGTTGGGCGTTTTAATCTTGTTTCGTTCCGTTTTAATTAATTTTTATTTGTTTCTATTATCGCGCGAAAAAATCTTTAAATTCTCATTTATATAATGTGTCAACACATTTAATCGAAGTTATTTTGTGTGAACTCATAGTACTGATATAATTTAATCTTTAAGAAAGAAAAAGGTTGAAATTATCAATTTAGAAACATTTATAGTTATTGCTGTTTTAGTTCGATTTTTAATTTTTCAATAATAATAGTAACTCTGCATAACTGCTGTATTTTGACATATACAATTTTCTCATAACCATTTTAATTAATATGGTAGGCATTTTATGGGATTAAAATTATTTAATATAACTGGATGTTGTAATTAAAAAGTGGCTGTAGTTTTAGAAATATTTTAGCTGTCAGTTATTTATTTCCTCCATACTTTACCAATGGTTACTTATCGAATCACTAACAGTTTTCAACATCGAGCCTCAAAAATCTCCGTTCAAAAATGTACTATTTACAGTTGTTGTGGTTTTCACGCGGTACGTGTTATCTGATCGTCAATAATAATAGTAATAATAAAAAAAAAAAATGACTTCGCGCACACGGTTCTTCGTTGTCTATCTGAATGAAAATATAAAATGGGATGCAAATCAGGAAAAAAGAGCCCCCCAGGATTTTGGCAAATGCCCTGGGCGTTTTTTGATTAATCGCCGTTACCTCCTCTATCGAGCTCCCCACCGACCTACATGTTTTATGGTCCGTGAAAGACATCGTCCGAAATCAAAACAACCCACTCCTTCCTAACAGACTAAACCTTCATTCCCCTTTTCCTCGTTCATAGTTACATCACATAACGCGTTCATTATCATATCCCTGAAATAGAGAGAGGAGAGAGAGAGAGAGAGAGAGAGGGAGAGACTGATAGGGGATTAATAGAGAGGAAGAAAGTTATGTTACTTTAGGTGAGAATACACGATCAGTTCTGCACGTATACGCTTACTCTCTCTCTCTCTCTCTCTTGAATATACTCACGTATATTTATTATTTGATCAACTCACATGCGTGACCCGTATATTATTATTATTGTTATGATGGAAATCAATAAAAACCGGTCGGACAAAAAAAATCCACTCGTACCCGCGTTCCCTCCGCGGACGACAACGCATATACCACGAGACGACATCGTTAATGGTGTGGCGTCGTCGGTGAGTTTGTTGTCAAACACACAAACTGTACACTGGCACACCGCGTGTGTACGCGAGAGAATATATACACTATTATGTGTACACTTATATGATGATTGGGGCGAATGTTTCTTTTTGTCAGTATCGGTTTTTTGTTTTTTTTTTTTTTGTTCTCTGTTCGTACAGCGTTCTCCTCTCCGAACTCCACCGTCGATCAACCCCTCGATGGGCTTACACCTATACGATATACACACAGTACACACGGTACACACACACGCACACACACACATACATATACACACACATTTATATATATACTTAAATGTATCCCCTGCACACCGCTGAATATATCATCCCTTGCCACCGCTTCTTTCCGTCGTCCCGAATATGCCAATTATATATGTATAGGCGTATAAGCGGCGTGACAATAGAAATGCAAGCGGCGACGGACGGCATCTGGCGTGCACCTATACATCGGGTCATTGTAACGAAAAGCGTGTGTGACTGAGAATATTCGATGTCGAGTTTGGATAGCGAAAATCGAAAATGGACAGTTAGGTATACTCACGTGGTCGGGCGCCATACGTCGAAAAATGTTCTCTCCAGTGATTTATAATATAAACGTATCTACGAGTACTGTATTGTATTATAACGCGTGTTATTCACTGCAAGACGAATTAACAGGACCACAAGAGCTGGTCGCCCTCCGAACGTATTATGTGGCTACCGTCTTCATTGATGACCGTCGTCGATGAGGGTCCAATCCGTGCGTGTCGAATCCGCAAAAATCTGACAGCCCTCAGGTCGAGTTTTGCGTGCCCACTGTAGCACATGTATTTTGGATATGTATGTTGACGACAATACGAAGATTTTTAATCATACGTACGACTTACACACACACACACACACACACACACACACACACACACACACACACACACACACACACACACACACACACACACAAAAGTTCAAGAATATCGATTATATAGTGCTATTGTATTAATATATCACTCGAATCACGTATAAATATGATATACGAATTTATTAGCTGCAGAGCTCCTTCATATATACGGGGACGTTGTGGTTTTCAACACGTGATAGTGCGAACATTTATAGTACAACTTATTTAATAATCATCCATACTTATATAATATACTATTATTTGTTTTTTTACATATATATTAATTCATCGTATCATACCAAATAATAAATATTTCGAACTGCACTTTTCTGTTCAAAAACATTTTAATTTCATTAATCCTGGGGAATTTCGGATGTACATGTGCAAGACAATTATTTAAGTAGCCCTAGGCCGCTTGGTATACTTGTATATATATATAGTTCTTTGAGAACCTTCGTTACATTAATGTCGTGGGTCACGTGTTTTAGATATGTGATATTATTGTTCGCGACGAATAAAAGAATACTACTGTTCGGAGATCGATTATTTTGCCATCCATTTGCTTCTGTGCTTTGAGAATTTTGACCTCATACAGAATATCATATTATATACATATAGGTACTCTGATACTTCATTATGAATGGAAGCTTCCAAATGGCCAGTTGACGGATGTCTTTGTCCTCTGATATTGTTTTTATTCGACTATAGTTTTTCTTTGAGTGCGTCGTATTATTTTATTTTACTTGCAAGTTTTCCCATTAATGCGAGTGAAAAGTTGACTTTGAATTTAAATAAACTCTATTGGACTTTTTATTTTTGTTTTGGCATATTTTATACAAAAAAGGTTTTACATAATATTATGAATATAGGGTTTCTTGGAGGTATTCTTACGTAGTACAAAATTTAACAATGGCGAAATTTCGTTTCGTGTAATTTCATAAATTCATTGGTCGTTGTTGTTTTTATGTACTTAACATATATTTAGTAACTATACTCGTACATATATGTTTTTATTTTACGGATACGTAATTTACCCATAACCCATTTAAAAACGCATTTTATTTTTTCTTTGGATAAAGCTCATTAAATGTATTAATAGGATTTAAATATTTGTATATTCATTTTAAATAAATGGGTTGTTGATATAGTCCAGAAAAAATCAATCATGCTAATCTAGGTTATTCTACTACTATGATGTTTTTACAGTAAAATATAAATTAC